AATCATGTCAAAATTTATATGAATCTAATAAAAACTCATTTTTCAAAAAATTGTAAAAATGGGCTGTTTCTATTGTCCGCACCCCATATTACTGAAAGGAAGGAAAAGTGATGTGAGGAGATAGGGAGAGTGCTGCCAAAACAACCACCTAAGCGACTCGGCAACTCGTCAGGTCAGGTATGGGGGACTTACTTCGGTGGGCTCTATCCTAAGTTTGTTTGAAGACTATAGACAACTCGTCTTAGTGTCAAGAGCGACTCGTTCATTCACAGCCCCCTATGACTTGCTTTTCTTCTTTCAATATTTATATTTTCCTGCAATGTATTTTTTTGTGCATTTTTTTTCTTTTTATTATTACTTTAATTATTTTTTATCCATATAACAAACTCAATGGGTGAATATAAAGTCATTCTGGTATAGGTTGTAATTAAATATAATAATTTTCATTGAAATCTTTATTAGCATATAAAAAGAAGATATATTATTTTATTAATTGGTTTTTAAATTGCTTTATAATTAATATGGCTAAATTTTTTTTCAGATTTTAGATAGCAATGATCTCCAATTGTCAAACAAACCAGTATACTTACAATCTGCTCCTAGAATACTTGAATCCTCTGTCTTAGCTTCTTCCACAGGACTACCTGATAGTGAAAATAACTCGACAAATAAACGAACTTCTGTATATATTGGAGGAAATGTTGATATGCCGGGACGAATGGATCTAACATTATATAACGATGAAATGATAAGATATGATGATGAATTTGGTTATGGTGATGATGAAGGTGGATCTGATACCATGTCTGTAGCAGATAACCAATATGATGAGGATGATAGTGATTTTGAAGAAGACATACCGGCAGAAGAAGACATACCGGGAGAAATTGATTTAAGGGACTATCCATATTGATGTTTCTTTTTTTTTTTTTTTTTAGACGACAACAGCATTTTATTTATTTGACTAGATGCTTATGTATCATAAATTATGCAACATAATATTACTCTGATAAATTTTTTACGTTATTTTTGGCATTTTACTTCAAAACATAATTTTGGATGTATTTTGTTTGTAAATACTATGTGCAATTAAGATTGTATTTATTTATTATTAAATGTATAACAATAAATATGAGAGAAAAAAAAGTTTCAATAGTAAATTTCTTGTATTTTATTTTATCTTTTTTATAATCATAATAGTCCAGTGTAGGACTGGACATAGAAATTGGACTACCCATGTCCCCTGAAAGGTATTGGACACTTTCATTAAAATTTTATTGGTGATTTTAGAGCAATTAAAATCTTCATTACTACCAGATCATTTACAATATTATATTTTTCTATTCTTATAATGTAAAAGCATAATAAGCATATTTAAAAAAAAGGCTAATATATTTAAAGATGTTTATTTAATAAAACCTTTCGCAAAAAAAAAAATTTAAGCATTAAACAACACCAGCCATACTTCATACCGTGCCCACCTTTGCAAAAACCTTTGATTTTGCTAAATATATTATAAGGATACTGTATAATTAAAATATAAATAAAATATTTTTATTCTGTTAAGTTACTATTAACAATCTTTTTATCATATTGTTAAGTATTAAGATATTAGTAATATTGTTTATTATTTAGTTATTTTAAACAGATTGTTATTATATTATTAAACTATTATTTATTAAATTGCTATTAGATAATTAAAAGATAATATTTGATTACAGTACACCCTCCCAAAACCGATCCTGTCAAAACTGATAACCTGCTACAACCAGTGTTATAAATTCAAAAAATTTTTATTGGCGCAAATGCAAAAAAAATATGCACAAAGAAAAAATTTATACACGCGTTATATATACGGGGATATGCGCAAATTTAAATCTATGTGCGCTGCGCCTACTGCGCCGATCCAATTTACATCACTGGCTACAACTGATAAAAAATTGATTCACCATGTCAGTTCCATAATCAAAACCTGATAACTTGCCATTTCTGATAACCGATACCAACAAGATTAGATATCTATAAGATATCGGTTTTGACAGATACTATAAATCGATTTGATTGGCTCAGATCGTGTTTTGTGTAACAGATTATATATCTGATATATAAGAAATATAATCCAGCCAATTATATTTAGTTATGATCACGTAACAGCAGTTCATTAATATTTTAAATCCGATAACCTCTCAAACCTGATACAAAAGATTTTAGGTAGCACACTCACAAAAATTTTTCCCACCCGTGAATTTATAAAACCGCGTTATAATTAGGGTTAGAGTGAGAACAGGAACATTTTTAATTAGGTCACAGAAGGTGGTTTCTTAATTAAAATTTCGAGTTATTTTAGTTTATTTGTAAAAAATGGGTTTACTTCGTTTGTTTACATTATACCTAATCTTGAAATTTAATTGGCCAAATTCATGGGTGGGGAAAATTTTTGTGGATGCGCTAGGGGGTTGATACAAAAGCTGTCTACTATGCATATTGGATTTGAGAGGGTGTATTGTATATTTATATTATAATTATATTATAAACATATGATATTAATTATATTAATAGTGACTTAACAGAATTACAAAAATATTTTAAAATATTATAATAATATTTTTAATATATGCTTAATATATATTTATCTAATAACTTTGATTATATTGTAGCTATATAATAGTTATATAATAAACATATTTGGCAAAATTTAGAGATTTCTGCTAAGACTTTTACATTATTGTTCAAAGATTGAAGTGTATAGCTTCGATTTTAAGTTAAACCATTTGGTTCTTTTGTTGTAAATATTTTTTTTTACTTTTATATTTATATATTATAATGTTCTTTTGTTCTTTTTTAGATAATAATTCTTTAGTTACTATAATTGGCTTATTGATAAACTTGGAATATCAGTTATTTAATAAAAGAGAAATTATATATGAAATAGATTTGAACAATATAGGCTCTGTTGATATGTTAATAACAGCATTTGATACAATCTAACCTTATTATAGTTACTCTTAATATAGTTACAATCTTGTTATAATTACACTAGTTTTTTGGTCTAGCTATTATAAAACATATAAAATTTGATTTTTATTTAGTTATAACTTTTTATAATTACCAAATTTTTATTTTCCAATTTAGTAATTATAATAAGATTAGACTGTATTTGTAAAAATTCTTTATTTACTTTTATATTTCTTTTTAGAAAAAATGTTTAGTAGAATATTGCCAAAATTTTATAGCTATAAAAAAAAAAATTGATTTAAATCTATTTCAGAATAAATATAAAATTAACAGATTTTGAAATTCTTGTTAAAACTTATTTGTATATATGTAACTATAAATTTAATTTATAGTATCATAAGCCAAAGTGTATTTGGAACTGTGATATTTTCTACTTGAATATCTTTCTTATACAAATAAAGATTAACTATTTGTTTATTGAAGAATATTCTTAAGATTCAACATGATTTATATTCTATTGATATCAATATCATATAGTTTTTATTGACCACTATAAAGTTGAGTTCTTTGATTATATTTGGCAAACTACAGCTATTCAGAAAACTTATAAATCTATTCAGAAGAATTAAAATATTATAAATATTAATTTTAGCTACAGTTCATATAACCTTCTTACATATCCAACAAACTATTATTATATTGTTTTTATTTTGTAAATCAAAAAAAATTTCCTGATTTAATTAAATCTTTTGTGACAGCTATCATTCCTATAGAAAAATTAATTTTTTATATATTTTTTTTAAAAAATATTGCAAAGAAAGTGAAGCTATTCCACAAGTATTTACATTATGCCAATTATGTCTTCTTCAAGTTTTTTCTAATTATTTAGAAAATCTTAAATTTTTTTTAAACAGAAACATGTAGTAATTATTATAGATAAAATAATAGACAGCTATTTATTATTTTTTTTTTTTTTAATATTAAAGGTGAGACCATGCTCTTATCTTTATTAAACTTAATGAAAACTTTTTACATGATT